TCGAATAATATGTCCAAGTGCCATGAATCAATTTTTCAACATCTTGTTTTTTTTGGTTCTCGTGAAATAAATGTACATTAATTATCTAAGAACATTGGTAAGGAATAAATTATACTCTTTCGGTTTCATATTATCGGTTGTGATTACTAAAAATAGTTGTCTCAAATTATTTATCACTTTAGAAATTCAAGACAATATTAATTATTTTTTTTCTTTTTTGACCCTCAGTAATAATAATCCTTGAAGACTACAAACACCTCAATTATGAATAACTTTGTTCAAATTACCTATGAAGAAAGATTAAATATTAAGACATGAATAAGAGTAAAGTAGTTAAAATTCCATCATAATTAATTTTTCTTAAGGGACGTGTACAAGAGAATTATGACAGATAATATGAGACGAAGCGAGTAATATGAACTAGCATTCAAAGTAAATGAGAGAAGAGAGACTAAAGGGTATGTTGCACGAGATGAAATTCTCTCGTCCTTGATCGAAAGTCTGGAATTCGAGTCTTGAGAATGAAGAAGTTTTTTGGGGTGCGCTTCCCCTTTAATTGGTTCTACGCGATAAAAATTCGAATTAGTCGGGCTAGTAATTAACGAGTACAGAATACTTATAAAAGAAAGAAAAAAAGAAGAGAGAGAATGTGTATTCTGATTTATGTCAAAAATACATCTAGAAGCCTTAGAAGAATATATAGGTTGAACCTTTAATTACTAGGGTTTTACTAGTTCTTCTTTTAATTACTAGGGTTTTACTAGTTCTTCCTCTTAATTCAATTATTTTAGAATTTAATATTCCTAATGAAACGATGGGGCAACTAACATTGACAAATAATATATATCAATTGAAGCTTAAATTGTAATCACCTCTAAGCACGTACCTTGTTCAAATGTAAGTTGTAATGCAAGATCTTAATATGCCAATAATAAATGAAAAATAAATTACTCGAGAGTCAAACAAATGTATAATATATAGTAACTTTGTAGCAATTACATTGTAATTATGGATTATTTCTTATTGTAGAATTTCTTTCATAACACCAATATCCAGATTAATTATTGTGCGCGCCTTAACTATTCGGAAGCAGAAAATCGCTTATACCGAGTTCCGCAACAACAACTTAGTGTTGAATCTCTTTTTCAGTAGTTGTTCTAGCAGTTGTAGTAATAGCTCTATCATCGAACTAATGGACGGACCGCAATGGAAGTACTTGGTATCTTTCACTATAATCAGAGGCGACGCTATATACTTTGGTAAGGGTGGTCAATTAACCATCCTTCGTCGGAAAATTACACTGCGTATATAGGTAAAATATTAAATTTTAGAGGTATATAACATATGTTGAACACCCTTTGCCGAAATCATTTTTAATTTCTTTCAAGTTTGAACATCCTTGAGAAAATTACTGGTTTTACCACTGCATATAGTGAATAACTCTGATAGTCTAGGACTTAGGCAAATGAGAAGAAACCACCTCGACTTTTTCTATGTCTTTTAGAATTTGAACTCTGATCTCCCACGATTTTCTTCGGATTGTATTGATCACTAAGTCATGCACTCATAAGTATTATTCTTATTTTATAAATGATTAATTTATTTTTAAAAAGCTTTTACATATATTTTTAACTACTCTTCTGTATATATTAAGTCCCAACTTGAAGTAGTTTATGACATTCAATTCAAGTATAATTTCTTTTAGACAGAAAAAGCACAGGAAGTCAATAAAGTCATTTGTTTCCAACGAAAAGTCCAAATAATATTTGATGGTAGGGAAAGTGGAAAGCAATTTGAACATTAGGTATTATTTGTAAAAATTTAAAATAAGAAAAAAAAAGTATATTTCAGCTCGTCTTAGTTGAATGAAAAATACAAAATAAACGTTGCAAAGAAATATTTTAGAAGAAAACAAAATTATTATGACTTTATCCAAATGGACGCAACTTTTTATATTATATCTTAATAAAAAAAAATTCCTCCTATTGACTGGTCAATATTGACAAATATATTATTTACTGTACTAAATTGAACCAAAAAAAGAATTCTTTAGTCAAATACCTTTGGTGTTTCTTTCTTCCTCTTTTTGAAAAAAATGGATATGCACAATTATTAAATTATCAATATTGAAGTCCACTTGTACTGCTGAACTTCCCCAACTAATCCAGAATGATGGTTACTAATTAAATGGACTTTTTTGATTTGGTCTTGGTTTAATTTTGAAATTAATTTTTTGGGAAAATATATAATAAAGTAGAAAAGTTATGTGTTTTAGTTAGTATTCGAGAAAATATATATTTTGTATAATAGTAGTGTTCGGAGCAGTTTGCGCATATCTCAACTATTTCATCGGATATCTCTTCTATCGGGCGGAGCCAATGTTCTGGCTACGAGTTCGGCGACCCCAATAATTTTTGTTTAAACCCTATATTTGTCTTGAATAATTTATTAATTATTTATAATTTAATAAACTATAACCCAATAACTTAAAATGATTAAAATTCTGAATTTATAAGTTTGAAATCCTAACTCCGCCTCTAATCTTCTACCTTTCATCAGTACAGATACCGAATAATTTTGTTATACCTAGGTAGCTGAGTCTGACTTGACTATTTCATGTAGATGAGGTTTTAGAATATCATATTCTCCTCCCCTAAAAAATATTATGGAAAAATAATTATTCAATTTTTGTACAGTCCCAATTTGAAGCCTTCCATTTTCAACCTAAGTGGGACCAGTTTGAAGAACAAAGCTTAGTACGTAACTACTTTTTCTCTACATTAATACACTAAACAATACATAAACATGTTTATATCCACACGTTTGTATAGACAAAAAGATACACGTAGCAATGGGGTATTTTACACAAAGATTAATACAATATATTATTCAATTTTAAACAAAGAGTTCAAGTTAACCAATTAAATAAATAAAAATATACAGTGATAGGGGATTTTTAATTAATTTTTATACGACCGGTGAAATTTGACTGATTATACTGTGTAAGTTAGATATCGATAATTCTTTTGTATTTTTATATAAATAGTTGAATCCCCTTAACATGTATAAAGGAAATTTCTAGGCATAACATTTTTGGTATCTTTTTGATTCTTCATATAAGAATTTTTGGCTTCGCCGTTGAGCTTTATAGTGTAAAAATTTATAAGTTGGTGACGTAAATTTTTACATAAATAACTTTATTTTTGTATGTACAACTACTCGATATTGAAAACTCGCTTTGTTTAATCCAAATTCGTATCGTGTAGGGTTTTTACTAAGAGTGAGACCTGTCAAGAAATTTTTAATTCAAATAACTTGAACCCAAGACTTATAATTAAAGGTGAATGAATCTGGTCCCATTGCAAGCCCCTAATCTTAAATAAACAAGTACTACATATATACCTAGAATCATTGGCGGAGCCACACGTATAATTAACTGGTGTCAACCAATACTTTGTCGCCAGAAAATTATACTGTATTGTTAGGCAAATTAAAAAAATTCTATTTTATGTATATATATTATTTGTTGAATCCCATTGATTTTTTAATGTGTTTAATTTTTTATATTCTGATACCCCTAATGAAACTCTTGTTCTGCCACCGTCGGAGGCGGACACACATGATGATGAGTTGAGGGGTCACCGGCACCCGGAAAATTTCGGCAAAAACTCTATATATACTTACAAATATCTTCAAAAAATAGTCAGATATAAACATATGTCCCTGTACCAATCATTATAAGCAGTGATAAATTTATGTTGAATGTCATTAGGGCGAAGCTATGTTGGCCCAAGGATGGTCAACTGAACACCCTTCGATGAAAAATTATATTACGTATAAGGTAAAATACTACTACTTATTATTAATTAAAAAATAGACTTTAAACCTCTAATTGAATTTCCTGGTTTCGTCACTGAATATCACGATGCCCCGCGACTACTAAATCCCTTTGGGCCCACTGTCTAGAATATGACTTTCTCATTCTCATCTTCCTCTCTTCAACTACTATATAACAAGAGATATGCATAATACATGCGTTTCAATCATTCTTTCATTTCTGTGAAAGGATATATATTATAGAGAGAGAACAAAAGTTTTTTATTTGCAAAAAAAATAAAAAATCTCTTGCATTTCTCATGAACTTCGGAGTCGTATTGGGTTTCTATTGCTGGGGTTGGGAGTTCTTAACTGCCCTTCTTCTCTTCTCCACCCCCTCTTCTATCTAGCAAATTTATCCATTTTAATTTTATAGATTTTTATTTTTTTTAAAACCCAACACAAAAAAAAAAAAAAAAAAAAAAAAAAAAAAAAAAAAAACCCAAAAAAGGGTTGATTCTATTTTCTTTTCTCTTCTTGTTTTACCAATTTTCTTGGATTTTTTTTTTAAAAAATGATGGTGGTATTAGAAGAAGTTCAAAGTGATGAGAAGAGTTTGTTATTAGAATATGTGAGGAAGTCATCGCCGTCACCTTTTCTGCTGAAAACGTACATGTTGGTGGAGGATCCGGCGACGGACGATGTCGTTTCTTGGAATTCCGATGGGACGGCGTTTGTTGTGTGGCAGCCGGCGGAATTTGCTAGAGATTTACTTCCAACTCTCTTCAAACATAGCAACTTCTCCAGCTTTGTCCGGCAGCTCAATACCTATGTATGTTATCCTTCTATTTACTGTCTAAAAAAATTTATTCTTATTCCGTGTTTGCATTAATTCAATAAATATACGAGTTTTTAAACTTATATTACCATCAAAGGATATGGTGGGACGTATGCTTTTAATCGGGGGTCTGAATTATAGGAAGCCTTAAATTCTTTTCTATGGACCCTATGCGATGATAATGCAAAATTAATCTAGCTAGTTAGTGAAGGGGAGCCTTAGAGCGTGTGAATTATAGGTTACGAGTTCGAGTCGTAGAAGCTGGCGTTACTAAACTTCTACGGACCCTACATGAAAATGCGATGCTTTGTACACCAGGATACTTTTTTTAAGTCTAGCTAGTCGGTACCAGACAGTGGATACTTGATAATTAAACCAAAAAAAAAATATTTTTTAACCATATTGTGTCTTTTAAATATCTTGTGATTCTTAAGGTTAAATTCATTAATTTGGTATAGATACTAGAGGTAAGATGCAAGGAAGTATTTTCCTCAGATTCCCTCCCCTTCTACAAAAAAGAGATATATTTCTATTTATCATAAATCTATATTTAATTACCAAAAACTATTTTAACTAAATGAGTAATTGGTATAGAATATTCATATAACAGATATCAATTGGTTTGAGGTTAAGATAACATTTAGCAGTACATAGTAATAGTTGTTATAATAATTTATAATTAATTATATATATACTCATCTATGAACATGGTTTATCTAAAACCAATAATATTCAATGATTGTTTTATTCCCAATAAGCTAAAATTTTATTTATTAAATTTAAAGCAAATCGCACTAAAAGCATTTTAAGACACGTCCTGCTATTAGTATAACTTTAGTAACTGAAATATCTTTTTCCAGACACATGTAGCTTAATTGAGTAGTTTAATTCGTTTGATAATGGTTAATTTAGTTATTTTTAAAGAAGAAAAAAATAAAAAAATGTATTAGTGTTGGTGATACAAATAGACAATAGATCTTTTGTGGGCTCAACTAAAAGGACTGTAGACCATGATTTTGGAATAGTCAGCCATTAAAATATAACGATTATATTATTGACATTAATCCTACTTAGATCTTAGGTTATAATTATAAGTTATCAAGATAAGATATTGTATTGCTTATTGTCAAAAGCACTCATAATTCTTAGCTTAATCACTTGAATATAATAAAGTTTGTCTTATTTGTACACTTTTCAATTAACATGCGTAATAATAGTATTTTCACTATTTATTACCTTCTTATTACTCATGTTTTCACTAATTAAGTGGTACTCAAACTGGCCACAACTATGATAATAGTGGCAATCATCTCATCTCATACTAATGGAGATTAAAAAGTACATTATATTCTTAATGGATTAAGAATTTTCTCATGTATTAAAGTTGTGAAAATTCTTTCGTTTGAGGAAATTATTAATTTATAAACAGCCTCTTCCAGAAATGCAAGGTAAGACTGCGTATAATAAACCCTTGTGGTCCTGAACCCGGGCTGCAAAGTTTGAGACAAGTTACACATGATAACGTTTTCTACATTTTGAACCATATATATATATATGTTTAATTTCCATTGAATATATATATAATTCTTGAAATTTATTTCGATCATTAATTTTTTGTATGATATTAGGGTTTCCGTAAAATAGCAACAAGCCGGTGGGAGTTCAGTAATGACAAGTTTAGAAAGGGAGAAAGAGATTTACTATGTGATATTCGTCGTAGAAAAGCATGGACAAACAGACACCAACCAAACAACAATAATAGCAACAACAACAATATTAATAACGGACAGAGTCAATGTGCGAACAGTAACAAGAAAGAAACAGAAGAAGATCAAAGGTCATCGTCATCAACATCATCATCATCTGAACTTACAATTCTTGTGGATGAAAATAAAAGACTCAAGATGGAAAATGGAGTCCTTAGCTCTGAGCTTTCAGTAATGAAAAACAAGTGCAAAGAATTAATTGATATAGTTACCATTTTTGCTAAAAATCCAGAGAAAGAAGAAAAAAAGCAACAAGATGAGAGGCCAATGCTATTTGGAGTAAGGTTAGAAGTTCAAGAAGAAATGGAAAGGAAGAGAAAAAGAGCTGAACTTACTGAAACAGCCAGTGTTTTTCTCTCTCAATTATGCAAATAAATTTCAAAAATTAAGAGGAAAAAAAATGAAGAGAAATAGTGTTAAAATAAGTGATTAAAATAATATATATGTGTACCATGTTATTATTAATATTTCATGCAAAGTAGTAGTGTTAATTAGCATGTAGGGATTGCTACTGAAATGGAGATACTATTGATATCTAAGTTGTATAAATTTACTAGTGTTATTTCACGTGAAATTTAACACGGCATATAATAATATATTTCGTGGAAATTAGCTTTTTCTTTTTAACATTATCATCATCCATTCCAATTTGCTTTATTAGGACATAAAGTAATATAGAGGAATTTTCAGAAACCATTATTATTTAGTGGTTATTAGCTTCCAATAGCTATCATATACATAATTACTTTTTATAGCTACAATTCAGTTGTTACGGTAGTGTATTCGCATTGCTGTATTCATGAATCCAGCAGCAAAACGTGCCTAAAAATCAGGGCAGTCCAGCTGTATACGCATGTATTCACATGTATTCGCGCCATGTATTCATGAATACAGTAACAACAATCACCTTAAAAATAGGCATGCCCAGCTATCTAAAAGAAAGGAAAAACATACATAGTGTATTTCTGCCTTATTTCATGTCTCAATATATATCATAAATACTTATTTTGCTATAAAATATAAAATTAGATAGCTATAAAAAATTATGTTTTAAAATGATTTTAATTTATAATAAATAGGGTGTATACCTTTGCTATATGAGATAAAATTTCCTAAAGTAGATGTTATGTGGAGTATATTTGATATAGCGTTCTCAATCCAGCCATCCTTGCTAAGAAATCTAAGTCCGAGCCATGCAGGGGCTTGCACAGGAATTTTTGTAAGTAGTGTCGAAATTTATAGAAGAACTGGAGTATAACTTTGATTATCATACTTTTAGATAAAAAATAACCTTAGTCTATTGATTTTGTTGAGTCTTAAGTTAGAAAAGGTGTTCAATTCTACTTCATCACAATTTTATTACAAAGGTCCTTTCAAATATTTGTAAAAGAAAAATGTCCTAATTGAGGTTTGAACATTTGACCTCTTAGAGAAAAAACAAGCATATTACCAACACATCAGGACACAATTTATTTCAAGTAGTGTCATTTTTCCTACTTATCCGTTTTTGTACAATATTAATATATATATTTAGTAAAATTTTCGGACGAAGCGGTGTCGCATGACACTGCTTCGGCAGGAATAAATCCGCCCCTAGAGCCATGAGAGGAAAAAGCTTCATGGTAGGGAGCGTTTAACCCGTTGATGGTCTAATGGGCAACAATTTAGATCTATCGGGCCAATAAATTTTGATTATGTTGAACAAAAAGAATATATGACTCTCAAATCTTGAAGACCTCAAAGATAACGTGTATGAATTATGGAAGTAGAGATGGTCAAAATCTTAGAGATTTTATAGGATAATTGATTATAGGTTGAAAATTCAACTTTATGTGGGACAAGGAGGAGAGGAAAGTGACAAGACAATGTTACAACATGATGTTACAAATACTTAATATAGAATAGGATGTTGGCTTCAAGATGAACCACTAATATTATTTTAAAACAATATACTATGATGAAATAAAGTTACTTTGAAAAGTAGCAAAAGCTTCAAGGCGTTGTATTATAGTCCAAATTTGATTTGAAACCTTGACTATTCTAACAAAAAATATAGGTGGCTCACCCTTCGCCGAAAAATTACACTGTATAGCTTGATATTTTTTTTTAAAATATGTATATATACTATATAATGACATTCCTTGACTTCTCGGTGAGTTTATTTCTTTATATTTTGACTCCCTTACTTCCAACCAAGAGGTTGTGAGTTCGAATCTTCCCAAGAGCAAGGTGGGAAGTTCTTGGAAGGAAGGATGTCGGGGTCTATTTGGAAACACTCTCTCTACCCCAGGGTAGGGGTAAGGTCTGCGTACGCACTACCCTCCTCAGACCCACTAAGTGGGATTATACTGGGTTATTGTTGTTGACTCCCTTACTGAAAATCCTGGCTCCGACACTGAGTCTTAACCTGCATTTCTACCGAGGCTATTTTTTTTTTTACTATTCTAACAGAGAGAAGGAAAAAGAAAAAGGTAATTTGTAGCCATCAAAGATTATGCCAATAGAAGATTGAACTTTGAAGAATTTGAAAGTTATGAAGAATTTTCAAAGTCGGCTGTCATAACTTTTATAAAAAGATTATTTTACTTTCATAATCACTTCTCAAATCATAAAAATATTATTTTACTTTTATAAAGTGCAAGAATTAATTACTCTGTGTTGAAGTGTGTTATCATTTCACGTCATCTTACGGTGAATTACTTCGTGTTGAAGTGTATTATCATTTCATGTCCCCTCAAACTCGAATCTAATTCTTTATAGGTTAAGTTCTTCTTGTTAATATAGTGAGACTCGCACCTAAAACCTCTATCTGCTTTGATATCGTTAGAAGCATATTATCATCTCTTTTTTTTTTTAAAATTAACTTCTTGGTTCCTATCTGTTCATTCCTTATTAATTAATTCATGTTTAAAAAAGATCAATTAATTTTCAAGTAGAGAACGAGAATAATTTTCAAGGTTTGATGAGTTAAGATGTCACCCTTTGATTGTTTGAACAAGTCAAAGGAGGACATTTTCAATTGATATCAAATTGTTTTAGAAGTTCTTTGAATAATTAATGTGACTGTAAAGTAGATAAAAAGTAATTTAAATTATAATAAAAAGCCTGTCCCAATTTGTTAACTTGGCACTTTCCGATAAAAACAATTTATAATTAAATCAGACTAAAATTTATTTTTATAATTAAGATATGGATAATAAAACATTGATAGTAATATAACAACAACAACATACTCAGTATTATTCCACACTGTGGGGTTTGGGAAATGTAGTGTGTACGCAAACCTTACCCTTACCTTGTGAGGATAGAGAGGTTGTTTCCAATAGACCCTCGGCTTAGGAAAGCATAAGCACCACATTAATAAAAATATAGCCAAGAAAGGACAGTACCAAAAAGCCATATAAAAGCAGAAAAAAAACAACAAGATAGTAAGGTGGTCAACAATGAAAGAAAACAACGATTAGTCATAAAAACCTACTAACAATTGTCACGACCCGGAATTCCCACCCTCGGGAGTCGTGATGGCGCCTACTAGTGAAAGCTAGGCAAGCCAACCATTTGCATTATTTATCCTTTTTCCCATTTTAATCCATTAACAATTAAGAGTCAACATTATGTAAACAACAGAATTTAATAAGCGGAAGAACAGAATATAACCATTTAAATATTACCAATACAAATCCTTAAACATAACTACCCAGAATTGGTGTCACAATTTCACAGACGGTCTAGGAATGCTACAAATATGGGTTAGAAAAATAAATACAACATTGTCTCTGAAATACATAAATGAAACAGGATGAAAGGATAGAAGGAGAAGCCAAGGCCTGCGAACGCCTGCACGACTACCTCGGATCTCCGAATGGACTGAAGGCAGCAACCCAAAGCTAAGGTTCGAAAGTTGTTGCATCGGGATCTGCACATAGTGCGGAGTGTAGTATCAGCACAACCGACCTCATGTGTTGGTAAGTGCCTAGCCTAACATCGGTGAAGTAGTGACGAGGCTAGGACTAAACTACCAAATACACATGTGTAGTTAAATCATATACAACGGAAAGCAAAAGTAGGAATGTACAATTAAGTATGGGAGGGGGAAACATGATGCAGGGAACATCAAATAATAACAGAAGAACAACAGATAAATATAAGGATCACCGAAGTTCAATTTGCCAACAAGAATCAGAAATAAAAGACAAGTGTACGGCATCACCCTTCGTGTTTTAACTCTCATCCTCACCATAAGAATCAATATAATCGGCATGGCATTACCCTCGTGCTTTTACTCTCGTCCTCACCATAAAAATCAATATAATCGGCACGAAATTGTACATCGTGCGGCACGGCATCACCTTCGTGCTTTTACTTCACAATATTGGCACGACACCACCCTTCGTGCATTAACACTCTAAAAATCATGCATGACATCACTCTTCGTGCTTTACACTCTCTCACAAATATCATGCACAGCATCACTCTTCGTGCTTTACACTCTTCCTCACCCAAGCAACAATCACAAACAATTTGGGCAAAGGAATCAATGATATTTAAATAAGATCCCGGCAATGGAACAATAACAAAAACAACAATATCCCGATAAGGGAAACTATATCATGAATAATAACGTCCCGACAAGGGAAATAACATCACTTTCAAATATATTTCATTTTCAAAAACTCATACATTTTCCAAAAAATAATTTTATTTAAAAAAATTATTTCTTGGGCTTGGAACCTTGATATTCGATTCCAGGCATACGCCCAAGTCCCATATTTTCCTATGGACCCTTCGGGACCGTCAAAATCACGAGTCCAAGTCCGTTTACCCAAAATATTGACCGAAGTCAACTTAAATTCATTTTTAAAAGCAAAATTTATCATTTTCCATAGATTTTCGTATAATCGCTTTCCGGATACACATCCGGACTGTGCACACATATTTAGGTGAGATAAAAAGGAGGTTTTAAGGCCTCGGAACATAGAATTCCCTTTCAAGACGAGGTCATCACATTCTCCACCTCTAAAACAATTGTTTATCCTCGAACGGACATAAGAAGGAAGTACTTGAGTCGGAAAAAAGATGGGGATATCGGCTCCGCATATCGGACTTGGACTCCCAGGTCGCTACCTCAACAGGCTGAACTCTCCACTGAACATGAAAAGAAGGGAAACTCTTCGATCTCAGCTGACGAACCTGCTGGTCTAGAATAGCTACCGGCTCCTCCTCATACGACAAGTCCTTGTCCAATTGGATATGCTGAAATCTAACACATGGGATGGATCACCGTGATACTTCTGAAGCATGGACACATAAAACACTAGTTGCACAGCTGATAAGCTCGGCGGCAACGCAAGTCTGTAAGCCACCTCTCCCATTCGATCAAGAATCTCAAATGAGACAATAAATCTAGGGCTAAGCTTGCTCCTCTTCCCAAATCTCATCACGCCCTTCATGGGCGACACCCGAAGAAATACCCGCTCGCCGACCATGAATGCCACATCATGAACCTTACGGTCGACATAGCTCTTTTGCCTGGACAGAGCCGTACGAAGCCTATCCTGAATGATCCTGACCTTGTCCAAGGCATCCTGCACTAGATCTGTACCCAACAACCG